CTTTCTCCTGGTTTCTTCCCTTCTTAACTCAGAAAACACTTCACGAAGGGACGAAATAGGTTTTTTTGCGAGAATCCAAGCCCTAACTTCATCCAGGTCACGATTGAGGCCTGCCAAAAACAAATACACACGATCTTGCTCCTTTTCGTGATTTTGAAACTACCATCGAGACAGTCTCATTCATCATTGTAACATTGGTCCAATTCTTGCCACAGTGACATCATCTCATTATAGTACACGGTGACTTCATATTCCCCCTGTCTGGATTGCCATAGTTTGGTTTTTAAATCAAAGATCTGAGATGAATTTTCTAAATCAGAATAGGTCTCTCTTACTACCTCCCACACATCTTTTGATGTGGGTAAAAATAGGTAAGGTTTACCTATGGTCTATTCCATTGAATTGATAAGCAAGGCAATGATTAACGAATTTTATGACCTCCATGTGTGCAGCTTAGCATCTCCGGCCGTTGGTTTCTTCTCTTCGCCAGTCAGATACCCGAGTTTTCCCCTTCCATCAATCCCCAACTTTATGGATTGTGCCCATTCCAAGTAACTCTCCCCATTTAACTTGTGGGATGTTAATTGGAATGAAGTATTATGGGAAAAAGAATCTGTTCCACCACTCGTTGAGGCAATTCCTATGTTGGAACTTTCTGTCGTTGCTTCAGAAGAATCAGTGGTTCGTCTAGCACCAGTCATGGTTGTTTTTGCCATCAAAGATTTAGATCAAGAGCCTTGCTCTAATAACATATAAGTTAGGAGGAAGGAAATTGAATAATTCTTCTTATTATTATTGATAGAAAAATACTAGGATTTATAAGTAAACATGACAGCAGCCCTGTCATTGAATCTCATAATTCTAGCAATAGATAAATCCTTTAATTTAAGGGATAAACACTAACTAATTAAGTCATAAACACTAGCTAATTCAAACTATGGAGATTCAGAGATATCCTTATCTCCTTATTTTAAAACAAACAAATTCTATCTAAATAGCAATAAAATAGGAAACCTAGGCCTCGTTCACTTCGCGGATTCGAGTTTTCAATTCGAGCTGAGATGTGACATTTTCAGAGAGCTTTTCACTGTAGCAGAAAACGTTAGATGTGACATTTTCTGAGAGCTTTTTACTGTAGAAACCTAAAACTGAAAACTCGAATCGGTGAAATGAATGAGGCCCTAATGTTCCTAACTATTCGACATAGAGGCCCAACACAATCTAGTAGCTAGATTGGCAGTGATGTCAACTTTTGTCCAATGTTACCCAAACCACTAAAAAAATATTTAAAAAAACAACAAGAAAACAAAACAAAACAAAAGAAACAAAATTTTTTATCTAAATTATCTATTTAGTGATTGATTTTATTTTATGTTGTTTCCTTTCAATTTATTGTTTGTTTGTAGGCTGTTTAAATTGTTAAAACTAAAGCTCACCTACCAAACCATTAAACCAATATCAAACTGTCTACCATTGTAAAAAGTTTGAAGGGATTGCTGCTCCAATGACGATCTTGTTATTAGTTTGAACAAAACAAAACAAAGCGAGTTGCAGCTCCCAGTAGCTTGACACGCATCTGTCTACAAAATTTAATATCAAACACTTCATCAATAATTATAAAGTAGACATCAAATGTTACTATTTTCACCAAAAAAATGAAAGAAAGGAGAGCAAACTGAATAAGCTTGTCGTGCAATATGCAAATTATCTACGATAGGTTTCTCCATATAACTTTAGGCTAATCTAGAAAGGCATAAATGGAAAATCTCATTGGCAATCACATAACAAGCCAAGTCAAGCTACATTACATTAGTGTACAATCACTGTCCCACGACCAAAATCTTCTCGTAGCACTTTCTTTCTCACTTTCTTTTCTTTTGACAAGAATGCCACTGATTTTGTTACAGCAATAAAGAAACGGTTTTACATGCTTGTTGACCAGCTTTAACTATAAACAACCCCTATACACAAAACTATGCCCTATACACAAAACTATGCCCAAACGTCGATCAGTCATAAGATTTGAAGATCAATTACAAAAGCTCTCCCTAAACTATATCCCTTGTAACACTTTGCCCCTCTCTTTGAAATTTAACATCCGTTCCCCCTGAACAATGAAATGTTAACAAAAAAGCACCCCCATTAGGTTTTTTGAGGGAAATTGACATGTAATTTGTTATTTTGGGGTATTTTGATAGCTCTATGGTAACTTAGTTTGAGTTTAAAACTAATTTAAATTTGAACTTTTAATTATGATGCATCTATTATTGATTGAATGTAAGCTAAAATTTTTATGAATTTTGTTGGTAGAATAAAAAAATTTATGAAGTTTTTTTGAATATCTAAATTAGTTTAGATTCAAATTAAATTTTAAACGATAAAATTATTAAAAGACCCTTAAAATAGCAAATTAAATGCAAATTTCAGTTAAAACCTAATTGAGGGGCTTTATTGTTAACATTTCATTGTTCAGGGGGAACAAAAGTTACGTTTTAAAGATCAGGGGTAAAGTGTTACAAGAGGTATAATTCAGAGGAAAATTTTTGTAATTAATGCTATTTGTGATTGATAATATTTTTGATTGATAAGTAATTAGTCACATGTGGTGCCCAAAAACATCAATACTGGCCTTTGCTCCATAATATGGGTCCCCATTTACAAATACAACAGCATGCTATATATATATATATATATATATATATATATAAACCTACAATAAGCATTAACATGTTATCACTTATTATATAGTCTCTTGTTTTGATTCAAATATAGTATAAAGAACTGTAGAATACCCACTTCCAATTATATGTGTTTTTGATAAACTTATAAGGGTAGAATATTAATTGTATGAAAAACCCAGATGATATAATCAACCCTTGCAATTGATGTTTCTTGGCTGCTTTTTCATATCTTTCCTTATACACCTAAAATGACAGACGATTGGTTACCATGAAAGGAAAAATTGAAATTACCTGCCCTTTTTGAAGCAAGCTTTTCAGTGGATGGGTTCTTGTTTTGATTCAAATATACTATAAAGAACTGTAGAATACCCACTTCCAATTATATGTGTTTTTGATAAACTTATAAGGGTAGAATATTAATTGTATGAAAAACCCAGATGATAATCAACCCTTGCAATTGATGTTTCTTGGCTGCTTTTTCATATCTTTCCTTATACACCTAAAATGACAGACGATTGGTTACCATGAAAGGAAAAATTGAAATTACCTGCCCTTTTTGAAGCAAGCTTTTCAGTGGATGGGTTCTAAGAAGAACAATTCCACCACTCAATCAAAGGGAAAACTTCAGCACCATAAACTCACATCTAATAAACACAAGAATCACATGACTTTTTATGTGAAAAATTAAAGAATAAAAAGACTATGGAAAACAGGATAAGGTTGAAGAAAAGAGCACATATGCTTTGAAAGATTAAAAGGCAGAATCAGAAACCCAAAAGGGGTCTTTGATGTCATGCACTGAGTAGTCGAATAACTTGTGACACAGGAAAGACAATCCTTATAGTCGTGGTTTTAGAAGCAAAGAATTCTATAAATCTTATAACATATTATACTTAAAGCTGGGATCCTATTACAAAGTGTCAAATATCTAATTAGTATGAAACCAAGAATTGACAAAACCACGTGTGAAAGGAGTTATGCACTTTTAACATTTCACCACATGCGGATCTAGGAAAAGTAGCTAGAATTATGACTTATATAGTAAGAAATGATAGTAATCCATGTCCAAATCTAAATATAACAGAGTGAAATGAAAAGAAACAAATAAATAAACAAAAATAAACAGTACCCATACTCATGAAATTTTCAGTTAAAACTTGTTTATGGTTGGGATTTGGTTGCACAATTATTGGGAGCCTATGATTTTTTGTATCAGTAGATTCTTAGGTTTTAGCTCTTTGCTAGTACTTCTAGGTTTCAATTTTGGTCGACTCCTTGTCCCCTCTTGTACTTTTTGTTTTGCATAAATAATAAATTTTTTCCTATATTAACGACAACAACAAAAAAAAAGAAAAAAACAGAGAGAGCGAATATGATGATTATTATAAAACCGCACATGGAGTTGAGCACTTCTAATATTTCTTCACATGTGGGATTCACAAAGGAAAAGCCACAATTATCACTTACTAAATGAGAAGTTATAGTAATCAATGTTAGTATCTAATAGAAAAAATGTCTAAACTAAAATGTGAATGAGAGTGAAAGGTAAAAGGTACCCAGGCCACGCTCTTTATTTAATTGTAATACCTTTGATGGGGTTAATAAAAGAAAAAAATTGTCCAACCTTTTATCAAAATTTTGTCATTCCCTACTACGTTTTTAAGAATGTGTCACATATTCTCTACGTTTCACAAGTAACGTTAAAATTATCCCCTATGTTTTACAAATCGCATTGAAACCTTCTCAGAGATAAAGGGAACGAGTGAAGTATTTCTGAAAACAAAGTGCAAAATCCACCATTTTGACGAAATACAAAGAGGGTTTTAAGCATTATCTCTGATTAAATTATGATTCATGATTTTAAAACAAGCTTGAAGAACACATAGCAAACAAATCATGATTCATGGTTTTAAAAGGAAAGAATTCTTTTCACTAATTATACTTACTGCTAAGATCCAATCAGTAAACTCACATCGATTATGTAAAACTCTTCTGACAAGTAACAATCATAACCACAGCATGAATAAGATTAGTATAAGACAAAAATAGACAAAGCACCTGTGAAGGAAGTTACGCAATTCAACACAAAGAATAGCCAGAATTGCAACTTATTTAATAAGAAATGATAATAATCCATGTTAGTTACAAAATAAATGTACCAAACCTAAAATGTACCTAAGACTACGAAAAAAAAAAGAAAAAAAAAAAAAAAAGAGTACCCACACTAACCAAATTTTCAGTTAAAACTCTAATTCCTCTGTTTTACTGATGAATGAGAAAGCATGAACAACACATAGCAAAAAGAAACATTTAGGGTATGTTTGGTTGGAGGGAATGGAATGGAAAGGAAAAGCCATTCCATCAAATTCCATTGTTTGCTTTCATTTTTTGGGTTAGAAAGGGCTTTCCGTAGGAAAGCCCATTCACTCATTTTGAGTGAATGGCCATTCATGTGGGGGGGTTGTGGAATGGCTTTTCCATTCAGCCCATTTTCTCATTTTCTCCGTATTGTCCCCGAGGCTCAAGCGAGAAGAGAGAAACCTAGGGCTCCCATCGCCGTCGCGCCCATCCAAGCTCCGATCGCTGTCGTGACCACCCAAGCTCCCATCGCCGTCGCAACCCGAGCCGTTCTTCCGCCGATCGAGTCTCGCCGGACCCCTTCCTTTTCGGCCTTCCTCCACTCTATTTGGCTCGTTCAATCTCGTCCTCGTATTTCGATTTCCTTAGATCCGGTTGTAGCTTCACCGGCACCTCTATTTCCGGCAAGGTCAGGTCAGCCACCCTTTCTCCTTCTTCACCACTCGCCTCACCTTCTACTTTGCCCGATTGGGTCCTCTCTGGCCCTGCATCACCGCTCTCTCTCTCGCCCTCATTCTCATCACGACCCCGTTTACCGATCCTGTTCACCTCTAGTCTTCCACTCCCGGACCTTCGTCTGCGTCTCTCCTCACGACCCCGTTTACCGATCCGGTTTCTTCAGCTTCGACGCTCTCGAATCCGATTTCGGATCACTTGGCGTCCCCTGGTGTAATAAGTGTTTTTTTCGCTTAGATATGATCTCATTTTGGAATTTTCCGTTTGGTAATTGAAGATTAGACGATTAGTTTTCCGGTTTTGAATTTTTGTTTTGATCTGCGGATTAGCTAGGTTAACCAATTATATCAGATTGTTATTAATTGATGTTTATTTTCTAACAATTGATTGAAGTGGCAATGATCTGGGAATTTGCTGATGATTTTGAATAAGATAGTTTTATTTCTAGTTTATTAGTGATGTATTTGGATTAGTGGAGCCTTAAAGCCTCTTTGTGTGTGTGTGTATATATATATTTATGTAGTTTGATCCCAACATAAAATTTGAGATTTTAAATTGTGCTGCTTAGTTACTGGAGCTATCAAATGCAGAAAGAATACTGCAAGGGCCCCTAACATTTTTATACCAACTCATATGGAGATTCATAACTTGGGCAAAATCTGAATTTAATTATTTATCTGAATTTGTTGCACCCAATTTCGGTTTTGTGTAGTCCAAAAGGAGAGAAATTTGATAATTGAATTCTCAATTTTATTGTTCCAACGTTATTGTATACACTCAATTGTATATATGTAGTTCAATTGATTATATATATATATATATAATCGTGGATGTTGCAGGCATAAGTGTGGCAAGTTCAAAACATGTTTTTCATGCTTTACTTGCCACGGTAGGATGTTGCAGGCATAAGTATACTATGTTCGTTTTCACTTTTTTTTTGTTTTACCACGGTAGGATTGCAGGCATAAGTGGATGTTGATTTTATGCTTATTTTTATTGACTATAAGTGATATTATGTTATGACTTAGTGATATTATTTACAAGGGATGAGATGTTGATTTTTAAAAAAAATCTATGTATGCATTAATTATTAAGAAACTATAGTGTGACAATATTGCATAAAAATTGTATTGACAGGGGTTAAAATTATATTTTTCACAGAACATATAATGGTAGATGTCAAAAGTTATCATATTTAAGCTTCTGATAATTTATTATTACATAAAAATATCAAATATTATTTTTTTTATAATTAAAATATAGTTTTTAAATTACTATCTTTCAAATAAAAAGTTTTTTTCAATAATTAAATTATGTTTTACTATTTTAATTAATTAAAATATTAAATTATTTAGGATTATTAATCAAGGGTATTTTTGTCAAAATACAATTTTTTCAATTTCATTCCGTTATCAATCAAACAGCATAATCCTCATTCAGGTGTTGATTCCATATCTCCAATCAAACAATGGAATCAGTTTATGATTCCAGCGCATTCCAATTCCATTCCCATTACCATTCCCATTACCATTTTCATTACCATTCCGTCACTGTAACCAAACGCACCCTTAATGTCTCAGCAAAATATTATAAGATCTTTTTAGTGAATAAATAAATAATAGGAACGTGAAAAAGAAAACTTACCACTGTGCCTAACTAAGCACGAATCTTCCCTCGACAACACTTTCTCATAGCCTGAACCAATCCATCCAAAACCAATAAACGTTTTTCTGATAGACTAATTAATTACTTTACTAAATGAAGTAAAATTATATTCATTTTCCGTAAGTAAATGCGCATGAACAAGATTTTCTCATAAACCAAACAAAATAAAGAAAGAAAGGAAGGAAATGAAAACCTTGCAAAGCGTGTGCTTGGTGGTGTGGTGAGAAAGGAAAAATCATACTAAAATGAATTCTCTTCTTTGTTTATTTAGCTTTATGAAAAATTTTAGAAATACCTACAAAAATTAAAACGTAGTGTAATGTTTTACAGAAAAACTAAACCTAATATACACTTCTCTTATGCACTTCTCACTGTCTATATTTCTCAACAAAGAAAGACAAAAACCCTAAATCACAATAGAGTGAGCGTTCGATTGACCAAAACTTGCAGAATAATGCATTAATTTGAGAAACAAACACATAGATAAATACAAAGAAGCAGAAAATCATGGCAAAATCAACAAATGAGAAAACGAAAAAGTAAGGGAGAAAGAACAGAAAATGAAAATCTCCAAAAACCTAAAGGTAAAACTCAAATTCGCCGCTGATTAGGCAAAATCTATTCAAGAAAGGAAAGAAAAAATTTACCTTCAAAGCAATCACAGTTCTCAGCCTCCTTAGCCACATCGAGGACCGAGTCGATCAACTCATCGCCTTCGGTGTAGTGACCCTTGGCCCAGTTGTTTCCGGCGCAAGACTGACCGAAGACGAAGTTGTCCGGCCTGAAGATCTTGCCCTAGGGCCTAGATCAGACGCTGTCCAATTACAGGTACAAAACCATGAGAAGATATCAATTACAGGTACAAAACCTTTCGCAACTTTAATCTTTATTGCTTTCTCCCCTGGTTCTTACAACAGACAACCATCCCAGAAATGATTATGAGAACACTACTAACCCCAGTAAAATGTGCAGAAAACTTAGAGCGAAGAGGACTACTGATTCAAAAAACAGTAAATTAATTGAAAGTTCTCAAGGAATTCAAAAGTTCGCATGTCATTTAATCAAATGTGGAATTCAAAAGTACTCTGTATAGAACAACGATAAACATACCTAGTGAAGCAAAGCCATTGAAGAAACAATAAAAGAGTTGCTTTAACAGGAATAACTTATTCGACTAAACTTTTCAGTCTTTGTACAGACACGGGCATGTTTATGAGAAAATAAACAATTATTACAGTACAAATTCAAAAAAAAAAAATGCCAATCAATGTGAATACATGGACGACAAAGCCATTATAGTAGCATTACTCTGTTTTGTTGATACAAAAGCTACAACATTTTTGATAAAGAATACAGGACGACACATGAACAAAAAAAAAAAAAAAAACCCAAGAAGTAGAAAAATAGAAAAGCAAGAAAACAAGTGTAAAATTGATTCATCGTCAATCTTCTGACAGTAAAATGAAAGATGACCAAAAGTATAAATTGTAGAATTTACAGGGTACAATTTTGTGTCACATAGCTTCTCTTTTCAATCCAAGTCATGTTTGTTTGCTCTTTAATAGAGGATAATACTTAACGATAAAAAAGAATATGTCATGCTCTTGATTGTGAATATATTATACTAAAAAGTAATGAGTGATTCTGGTTATACAAAAAATAAAATAAACTTGAACCTAAACCCATAGACAAATAAGACGATGAGAGAAAATAAACAAAGAAACAATTTATCAAGGTATAATTTTAATCTGATTTGAACAAAATTATAAAAAAAAAAACATGAAATCTTAATCTTAAAGATTTAATATGTAGAAATAAAAAGTTACGACATCAAAATATTTACATACCTTATCTAAGCTGGTTATTAATCTTGTTAACTTTCATTAGAAACATCGTAAGACACCCTAACAAAATTGTACATACAATAAACAAGTAATACTTGCTTCAGAACTCGGCAAGAGTATTAGTAAATAAAATAATGTAGTAGTGAACCAATTTTATTTAGCCCATGTAGAGTATGTTGAAGAATTCCTCAACGAGGTCTTTCCAGTAAACATTATACTAATTAATTAAGAAAATGATCAAAACCAGGTATTAGAATGTAACGGACTCAGAATGAACATTTTCTTGAATATCAAGTCCATAAAGACATAAAACAACATGAAGCCTAACTCCCTATTCTACTGATAAACAGAGCCACAGTTTGTAATTCGTAACAGGCAAGTCATCCTAAATTTCAAAAAAATTATAAATAATATAATGATTTATAAACAATAACACAAGGCTCTCAAGATGATACATGTAACTAATAAACCCTAAAGAGTCCTCTGTACCGAATCTGGGAAAACTCCATTCATGAAAGTTGTTAATTTTGTGAAGAACTATAATTTTTTTGTTTTGACCTTGTACTGATTCTAATATCTAAGACTAAGGGTACTTATGACTAGTTGTTTCTTTAGATTCCTATGTGTAAAAAGACATCATTATCTGTAACTTTCTCTTATCAAATTCTTTATCTTATTCTCAAAACTTCATTTCCATTTCCATTACCAATATACCTTTCCTCAAATCCCGACACCATCCATACTTTTTTTTTTCGTAATTTTTCTTCTCTCGTAAACCCAAACCATTAACTACTGGTTTTTTTTATTTTAAAGGAGTTTAACTCTTTCCTTTTTTTATTTTAAAGGAGTTTAACAGTTTCCCCTTTTGAAAATATCCTGGTTTATAGAATTTTGTATTTAAGTGTACCCCACTCAAATGAAATCATTATATATATTAGAAACATTAACATCCAAGCTATACATTAAACTCATAATATTTAAACTACATTAAAATTATAAAGTCCTATTCATTGAGAACGATGTGTTTAAGAACATAAAATCAAGATTACATTTTATCCAATGTACTCAACTAAATAGTGACAAAAAAATAATACTTAGACAGATCACTTAATCATGTAGCGATTAGCATAAAAATATAGATTAAATTGCATGTGCAGTATCAATAGAGTGACAATATATACATAAAAATATTGTAGAGTAAGTGAGCAAGAGAATGTACCTGACTTTTTTTTTTTCTTGAAGCGTTTTAATTTGTTTAATTAATGAGAACTAAAAAGGCACTCTAAAAACACGTTTCAAGAAAATAACTGTATTATATTACATTTTTTTCTTTTCTTTCTGTGCGGAATTCAGAAAGTGGAAGCAAAAGTAATAAGGTTGATAGAGATAAAAGAAAAGAAAAGCACAAAATATCAAAAGCGATGCTTTATTTTAATTGGTTGCTTTGAAACTGGAAAGGTGCTCACATTAGAAAGAAAAGAAACTGCAATGAATTCAGCAAAGTATGTTCTTTCACTTTTGCTTTTGCTTTTTCTTTTTCTTTTAATTTTGAATCTTTTACAAAGGTAAAGCCACAAAGTTGATTAAAAAAAAAAATCAAAGAACAAAAGGGCTACATTAAAGAAGCGAATTTGGAAAGTAGTAAGTGTTTCATAGAAATAAGTCTTTTACTTGGTTTTTAATTTGAGGCTGAAGAAAATTATAACAAATGATTTTTTTCCCTTTTGCTCGAATAAAATGGTAGGTTGCTTCTAGAAAAACTAGGAACTAACAAATCAATAATTTAAGATGCGGGTTGGGTTTCTTTTCATTGGAACTTGTCTTCTATGAAAGAGGAAAAGCACTGAAACATAAGATAAATCAACAAAAGGAAATTCAGTCGGAATGAGGTTGTGCAGTGACAACATATATGTATTACCTTAATGTTTATCACTCATTATACTTACTGCTAAGATCTGATTAGTAAGCTCACACCAATTATGCAAAACTCTTCTAACAAGTAACGATCATAACCAAAGCACCAAAGCCTGAATAGGATTAGTATAAGACAAAGAATAGACATACCACCCATGGAGTTATGCAATTAAACACAAAAGAATAGCCAGACTTGCAACTTATTTAAAAAGAAATGATAGTAACGATGTTAGTTACAGAATAAATGTACCAAAAGTAAAATGTACCTAAGACAGAGAAAAAAAAAACAAAAAAACAAAAAAGAAGAGTACCCACACTCACCAAATTTTCAGTTAAAACTTAAAACACTAATTCCTCTGCTTTACACATGAATGAGCAAGAGCAAGCATGAACAACACATAGCAATAAGAACCTTTTGATTTCTCAGCAAAAAATTATGAGATCATTTTAGTGAATAAATAAATATATAGAAATGTGAAAAAGAAAATTTACCAATGTGGCTAACTAGCACAAATTCTGCACTCGAGCACACTTTCTCATAGCCTGAACCAATCCATTCAAACCCCATAAACGTTTTTCTGATAGACTAAGTAATTAAGTTTCGAAATGCAGCAAAAATATATACATTTTCCGTAAGGCAAATGAGCATGAAAAAAAAAAATTCTCAGAAACCAAACAAAAGAAAGAAAAAAAGAAAGAAAGAAAGAAAGGAAAGGAAAGGAAAGGAACACCTTGCAAAGCGTGTGCTCGGTGGTCTGGTGAGAAAGGCAAAATCATGCTAAAATGAATTCTCTTCTTTGTACTATTAAGCCTTATGAAAATTTTTTGAAATAACTACAAAAATTAAAACGTAGTGTATGTTTTACAGAAACAGAAAAACCAAACCTAAAATACACTAGCAGAATAATGCATTAATTTGAGAAACAAACACATAATATTTCTGGAATTTCATCACTTAACTAAATATAAAGAAGCAGAATATCATGCCAAAATCAACAAACGAGAAAACGAAAAAGGGAGAAAGAACACAAAATGAAAATCTCCAAAAACATAAAGGTAGAACTCAAATTCGTCACTGATTAGGCAAAATCGATTCAAGAGAGAGAAAAAAATTTATCTTGCGTGCAATCACAGTTCTCAACCTCCTTCCCAGCCACATCGAGGACCGAGTCGATCAACTCATCGCCTTCGGTGTAGTGACCCTTGGCGCAGTTGTTTCTGGCGGAGGACTGACCAAAGACGAAGTTGTCCGGCCTGAAGATCTTTGCCCTAGGGCCTAGATCCGACGCTGTCCATGGTTCTGGGCTCATATCCCTGAGGACGGCGCGTGGGACGAACCGCCCGCAACTGGCCTCGTTGTAGAAGACATTGACTCGCTCGAGTTGTACCGACCCATCGAGTCGATCCCGTGCTCGGCGCAAACCACTTCCCAGAACTTGGCTCCGATCTGGTTTCCGCATTGGCCTCCTTGGAAGTGAAGGATCTCTCTCATTTTCGGTGTTCTGAGTACGAACGAGTTACTGAGTTCTAGAGAGAGAAAGAGAAGGGAATATTGGAGGAGGGAGTGAGAGAGAATGGTTTGTGTTTTGATCTGTGAGTGAGAGAAGAGACCGAGGTCTGAGAGGGAAGAAATGGGTTTTTTCATAATTGGGGAAGGAGGACGTTTCAACGGCTTCAAAAACTAAAACGGTAAAATGAAAGTGATGGTGCCGTTTGCTTTAGGGGGAATTCGAATTTTGATAAGAGAACAGAACATTTTTTAATATGAATTAGGAGAGAATTTTTTTTTTCTCATTTTTTATAAAAAAAGAGAAATTAGGAGAGAATTTGGAACGACCGTAACGAATCCGGAGCATTAATTGTGTTGACTGAACGAGATTGAGGCCTCGCAGTAAAAAAATTTAAAAAAATTATCACATTTAATTTTTTTTATTATAGTGAAAAGTTTTTAAAAAATATCACATCTCAACTTGAATTAAAAACTCAAATTCACAAAGTGAACGATGCCTGATTTTGTTTAGATTTTACGTCTGTGATTGTATCTAATGTTATGTGGCAGAGTTAAGGGTGGCAATTCGTATCACGTGTCGTGTTCGTGTTGTATTTTAATCATTTTTTAAAATTTATAGTCAATCTGAACACGGCCTGTAACACGAAACTTTTTAAAAACCGCAATACGAACATGACACGACCACTTTACTGATTGACACGACACGTACGAAAATGACCCGTGACACAAAATTGACCCGTGAATCTGAAATTGACACGAAAATTATATATTTTTATTTAGTTTTTTACATATTAGAAATAACTTAAAATTCATAACACGCTAAAATACAATAACATCCATTGAAATTAAGCAAATAATAGTATAAGATTTTGAGTATAATTATCATGATATCACATGTTCATAATAAAATAAAAAATATGTAATGAAAAATATATGTATTTTTTAGTTTTTTAGGAGTTTTGTGTCGTGTTCAGGTTAGGCGAGTCTAACCTAAAATTGACTCGTGTTTTTCGTGTCAATTTCAGGTCGACCCAATTCTGACCCGGCCTCTTTTTTCTCAACCCTAACCCGCGAAATTCGTGTCGTTTTCAAGTCGTATTGTCGTGTCGTGACCCATATTGCCGGCCCTAGGAGCGACGGTTAACGCTATGGATTAAGGAAAATTAATAAATTGGGGTGTTAATAAAATTTCTAAAAAAGTATATTAAGTTGGGTTTCTCTTGAAAATTAACTTGCCGGAAGTAGTCTCATATATCATACAATTATAAAAATAAAAAACAATGTTATATGTATTTAAAAAAATGTGTAGAAAAAATATATAATATTTATAATTCAGATTGGTTGTTTATGCAATTTTGAGAGATCTCCGGTCCGCAATCCAATTCGTAACCTTTTTATTGAGAATTTCTCAATCCTTTACTAATCCAAATTATTCTCAATCTAATCTAAAATCCGGGTAGCGACACGACGATACGACTCGAAACCCGCACGAAATTAGCGGGTTTGGGTTTATCATAAATAGGTACGGGTCAAAATCAAGTCGAACCCGTGAAACACGATTAAATAACGTGTCATTTTCAAGTTGACCCGCCAACCCGCAATTGACCCATCATAACTCGTTTATTAAACGTGTCATATTTGGGTAACACGAATACACAACCCGTTTATTACCTGTTTATTACCCATTTTATAAACATGTTCAAAAATAGGTTCAGAAATAGGTTAACACGGCCCATTTATCACATATTTTATAAACAAGTTCAAAAATAAGTTCAGAAATAGGTTAATACGACCAATTTATCATTCATTTTATAAACGGGTTGACAGGTAATCTACGGGTTGACACGACACGTTTATGACATGTTTAATAAAGGGTGTCATATCGTGTCAACCTGCCAATACACAGGTTGTATTTGAGTTTTGTATTTCGACACGATTAATAAACGAGTCAATACGACACGAATACGACCCGCCAACACGAATTGTCACTCCTAATGGCTGATTAGATTGACACACTCGAACTAAACATATAAGTGAATTCGATAAATTCTCACAATACTTATTGTTTGAAATTTATTGCTTCAGAACTCAGAATTATGCTTTATTCTTATATATCCGAAATTACAGGACAGTTTAACCACTGAGCCACAAAACACATCTAAACTCCATTATTAAAATAAGGACCTTTGAAAGAAATTCGCAAATCATTAGAACATTTAGGTCTTCTTCATATTTAGCACTTGAACAATTTAAATCTCTATTCACATATGTTAAATATATTCTGGATACTTAAATATATTCACTTGAGCCTCATCGAGCCCACTCCAACGCCGTGCAAGCCCTGTGAAGCCCACTCCTCCATTGCAAGCTCACTTCGATCATCAAGCCTGTCGTCTTCGCGAGCTGCCGCAAGCTCAGATTCGTCCAGCGTCGTCGCGCCACCGTGCTCTTCCCAGCGATCCGGCATCACAAATGAATCTCTGACACTGGATCAAGACAGTTGAAAATAACCCCTAACATGAGCATCTACCCAAGTTTAGCCTCAATCGGAAGTATTGATGGTTTGCGTCCTACGAAGCCCCAAGTAATTACCTATTTCTTCACCTAAAACTGTCAGATTTTCATCTTCATCTAAAAGTCCCAATGATCCTCAAATATTCTACAGCTTTTGGAACCTACAAAGAGGAACATGATTGAGGTAATTTTAATCATAGAAAAAACAAAATTACAAAGGCTTCAATTTTGATAATATCGATGTCAAAGTAATTCAAATGCAAGAAAATGAGCAGCTAAACTGCAGGTGAGAATACAACAGAAAGAAATAGAACATGCATATTAAAAAAAAAGTACACAATATTAATATTTTTATAAGTCAAGTTTGTTTATTTATTTGTTATTATTTTTTAATATTTAATCATTTTTACAAATTAATTAAAAATTAATGTCTCTATTATCTCAAATGATATGCCACATAAGCAAAACTGTTAAATTTATAGATAAAAGTGGACGAATAGAGTATGTTTTCTATATATAAGAGAGTGTCTTGAAAAATCAAGCAGCAATTTGAAACGGAGTACATACTTTGGGGTGCTTATGAAAATAATCCAATATATTATATTGGTATAGAATGACAATTGTATTCTCTCTGCCCATAGTATATTACAAAAACAGTTCTCTAGAAATGCATTCAACTATTACATACTTTACACAAAACCGGTTGTGACCGGTGAAAAGCACCAATATCAGACAATTTTTGTTAAATGAGATTCCACGTTACCGTGGAATTACAAGATGTAGATATGTAATTTGGGCCCTAAGGCCTGCCACTGTTGGCCTAATATGAACCTCCAAGCCGAGTTAGGTCGATGTTCCAAGCCCAAAACCTTATTTGGTTCAGGTGCCCAAACATCCATATCCATTACTTTAGCAATAAGAAATTTTATTCACAACCCCTATATTTATTAAGACACCTAATTTTAAACAATATAATTTTTTATCCCACTTATACCCTTGTGTTCAAGTGGTTCACCACTTGTACACCCTTCGGATAATATCTTATTATGAAAGAAATTTATGTTGATGTGTGTTAGGCTGCTGTGAGTTTTCTCTGGTGTTATTTTAAAGGAATTCATGCTGCTTGCCTTTCTTCTTGAGGTGGGTTTTGTGTTTTTGAATTTGTATTCGGAGGCTTCTAGCGCTAGGTTTAGTGGTTTAATTGGTTAAATTAGAAGTATTCAAATTGGAAGAAAAAACTGTATTTGGTTTAGATTTCCTTTTTTCCTATGTTTCTTCACTTTTTTATATAGTTTTCTTGTTGTTTCGACAATAAATCTGCTTTGGCAGAAATGACAAAATTATTTACATGCAAAGTTGAAGCAATACAATGAAAATTGAAATTCAATTACAAAAATTCCTCCCGAATTATACCTCTTGTAACACTTGGTCCCCCAAATTTTAAACATGTAACATCCGCTCCCACTAATTAATAAAATGTTAAAAAAAATCTCTTCATTAAATTTTAAAGGAAATTTATATTTAATGTCTTGGCTATTTTGGAAACTCATTGGTTTGAAATGTAAGCTAAATTTAAAACTAATTTAAATTTAGATTTTTAATTATGAAACATCCACCATTAGTTAAAAATTTTAGTTAATCCAATATATTATATGTAAATTAGACTAAAAAATTAGGGTGCGTGGATAAAATTGTAATTGTACTCTAAATTGTTTAACAACTGTTATTTATGTGACACGTGTCAAAAATTACTAATTTTTTTTAACAGATGGAGCATTTTTGTTAACGTTTCATTGTTCAGAAGAACAAATTTTACATTTTACAAGAGGCATAATTCATGAGAAATTTTTGTCTACTAATTTTTTTAACAGATGGGGCATTTTTGTTAACATTTCATTGTTCAAGAGAACAAATTTTACGTTTTAAAGATTACGGGACAAAGTGTTACAAGAGGCATAATTAATCTAATAAATAAATAAAGAGTAATGTAAGTGTGAAAAGGAGAGTAATTGAAAAAGAAAACAAAACAAATACGAGTCGCATGTGTGAGGGCGGGGAGGGAGTAGAAGAGAGTAGGAGAGATAGAATTAATGGAGATTTAGGCAAGTACTTGGGGAAATTTGCAATGGGGTGTGGGCTGTGTGAAAAAGGGGCCTAGAAAATCGGAGAAGTTTGCTTTGTTCTTTTCGCATATCACTCCCCTTAGCCATTTTATTCATTATGGGGTGTCTTTATGACTTTTAGGGGTGCAAATATAATTTCTCCTTAGAAATTTCTTAAAAATACTTTATAAAATTTCAGACCGGGTCGGATGGACCCTGCACTCTATAGGGTTGGGCAGGACCAGCCTAAAATTTCCATTCGGACCACCGCACCCGGATTGAAATTTTCATATAGGCTGTTGAGCTTGGGTCAAGCGACTCGAACTTTCACCTC